ATTATTAGATAAAAATTCATAAGTAGATTATAGTATGTATATACTGCAATATACTTGCATTAAAATATTATTAACTTATTAAATATAATGGTACCTACTTATAGTAATATATAAAAAATGGTAATTTTTACTATAACAAATCATTATTATATAACTTTTTCAATTTTAATTATATATATATAAATAAATATGTAAATAAAAGTCTTATAATATAGATATTATTTTCAAAATAAAAATTTTCCTATACATTAATAAAAATTTAATTTATTGTAATTTCATCAAGGCAAAAAAATTTAATTTTGAATAGATTATATTTCTGAAAACAGAAAATATACAATGCTGCTAAAATATATATATTAATAAGAATTCTATATAATATTATTACTAAATCTCAAAAAATTAAAATTAAATGTAAAAATAGTATAAAAATACTTTAGTAAAATAGTATTTTAGTTATTTTATTAATTTTTTACTAAGTAATTTTTCAAAAATAATATTTTAAATATTATGAATTAGTCCTTTAATAATCTAGATCTAAAACTTATTGAAAACTATTGAATAATTATTAAAAGGAATATGAGATTATATAATCTAAAAAACTTTAGTAAATTAAAAAGTTTTATAAATAATAAGTGAAAAAAAATTACCAAATAACCTTGTAATTGATTTTGTAGATTTGATATTATAACATTATAGGATAATTATTGAGAAAAATGATAAATAAATATTATATAAATTTTTTTAAATAAAATTTACTATATCTTAGTTTTAAAATGATATATTGTATATTTCAATTAATATAATAGGTATATAACTATTGCAATTTTAAAAATTGCCTTTTTTTTGCATACTACTATATATATATAATATTATTTACTTATTATTTTTAGCATTCTATAATTTTTTATGACTATATTACTATTTATTTATTTTTATTACTTTATGATATTTTTATGAATAAAGCATTATCTTTGTATTTTCATTATTCTATAATCTTTTTAATTTCAAGAAAGTAACTATGTATTTTTAATATTCTGCATTTTTTTTATCGCTAAAAAATAGTTAATTTTAACTAATACTATACTATAATTTTAGTTGATCTTTAAGATATATAATTTGAAAGATCTAATATTATGATAGTGATCTAATAATACTTTAGTATTACTATAAAATTATCATAAAAACTAGAAAGGTTCTAACTTAAATACAAAATTTTTGTATTCTAATTTTAGCTAAAATTAAACAAAAATTTATAGCATTTTGAATAAAACTTTACATAAGCTAAATTGTTTATAAGCCAAATAAGTCATCTCATTTCAAACTCTATAAAATATACTAGTTGAAATAAGAAAAATCGGCAATCATTAATTTCAGTTAACTTTCAATAATGCTGGCAAAAGTTTTAGCAAAATTTTGACTGGCATTAAGATTCAATTAAAATTCAACTAAAATTAGGCTCACTTATTTTTAGTCTATTGTCAACTTTTGGCAGCATTGAGAGCCGTTTAAAAACTGATTAAAATTAGGCTTGCCCGTTTTATAGTCTATTTCTAGCTATTTTATATTCTATTTTTAATCGAAATATTTTTAATTATAAATTTTATAAATTTGATAAAATGTTATTATAAAAAGTCGTAAATATAAATAAAATCATCATTTAAATTATTTAAATATGATATTTTCTGTTAATTGGGTTGATAGCAAGATATCGCTGGAATGAATCAACTAAGAATATGATGCACAGGTATTATGCAGTCACGACCTTTGAGGTAAAATCCATTGCACCATAACTCAATGTTATAAGTATTTTCAGTGCTAAAATAATATCATATATTTGTCGAATCAGCATGACGATACTATCTGATGTATGCTAAATAATGTGTTAGAGAGCTATCTGATAAGTCAGCTATATGAGTAAAGTAATATTGGACTTATCCGGGATAGCAATCAATATAACCATCATCTGTCATGAATTTTGCCAAGACATAACAGCTTTTTGCATGCCATAAAGGCATTATTGAATCAAAAACTTCAGATCCAATTTGACACCTTCTAAATTTATCTGCTTTTATATGAATAGTTATGTTATCTATCGAACCTCTGTCAGGTTTACGAAATTTAAGTGATTCATAAGTCACTGTATAATATTCAACCATTAAATCCAATATTGTAGCCAAAAGTGTGATATTTTCAGAAGAAGGTTTCAACATTTCGCCTGACATTCTTTTACTTCTGGTGATTTTTAATTCTTGAATATTTCTAGAGTTAAGTCAGAATTGATGGATCTCATCAGAAGAAAACTCGTCAGTTACAGATAAAGATCCAACTGAAGGCCTATTGTTCAATAGTTTAAAGCCTCTTCTTTCTATACTAGAACTCGTAATTTTGCTTATTTGAGTATCAAACATTAATTGACACATAATTTCAGGTTCAATTTGTCGATAGCTATTCGGCAAAGAACCTAACAAAAAAAATAATTTAAAGAAACATCGAAGATTATTAGATTAGTAGTAAGTTTAAAAACCCACTCACCTAACACACTGTTCATATGCTCGAATGAAAAATACCAAAAAGAGTAAAGAGGCCCAAAATTATGTGTGCATTCATGCAAGTGAAGTGAAAGATGAAGATTTGGTGTTATTTTATCTTGACCGTAATGCTTTTCAATTAACTTTACTATCTTGATCAGCCTATTATAAGCCTTAGTCATGAGATCGTATTCTAAAATCTGATTCACTAGAATTGAACAAACTCTAACAAAGTGTATAAGAATTTTCTTATCTTTAGATAGAAGGTATTCCCAAAGTGACACAGTTATATAAATAGTGAAGAATATTCACCATTGATCTGCTGTGAAGTTTGAAAAACCTTTCCCACAGTCAATTTTCTGAAGGATTCGACCTAAATCAGACAGAATTTAGAATTGGCTTATTTTTCTTTGAATATTTTTTAGGTCACTTAGCGTTAAAATACCTTCATCAACCCAAATTCTTTTGATTACCCATTTTACGATACCCAAAAATAGGCAATGCATTGGGTCAACGGTTAAAAACTGAATTGGGTCAAAATAAGTTAAACGGAATAATTCGGATCATCTAACTCTAGTATCTTTAACAAAACGTTTCCTCATAGCGTCTGAATTGCATCTTCGCCAACCAATAGCATCTTAATGATGCTGAGCTGAATCATGAATCGTAAATCATCTATCCATATCAGACATACCTGCAAAATTATGTTGATTATTTTCATAATTGGCTTTTTTTTCGCATATGTGACATGATACTAATGCTGAGACGTGACCGCAAATTTTCCTTGTAGCAAATATATCATATAAGACTAAGATCAATACTGCACGAATTCTTTTCCTATCAGGACATTCATGTATGCTATTCAGAGTCACTCAACTCCAAAGTGACTCTAATTCATCAACAATCGAGGCCAAATAATGGTTAATTTTGTGTAGACTAACTTCATTCAGCCTTGGTAAGATGCCCAAAATTAGCATATTTTCACGTTTGAAATGCATATCCTATGGTAAATTACATATAACAGCGTATATTACACTAATACTATGAATAGTTCATTCGTAAGGCTGAAACTAATCAAGATTCAGCATCAGACCAAGATGTGAGTCAACGACTTCTTAAAAAAATACGGTGAATCTTCTTTAGTAGTGTCCTTAAAATTTCGCCAAACTTGCCCATCATATATATCCGTTGAAATATTATTGTATGTTAGCCTATTTATCCAATAACGCAGTGAAGCTTCAAAGCCAGGTTGATGATATAAAGCTGCCAATTGTTTGCGAATTCTAACAAATAGATAAACTAGCTCTGGCTTGTTTATGATTGACTACTCAATAATTTTGCTTATTTAGATAAGTTCATTTGGCATATTTTCAATTTACGAGTTGCTGAATTCAGGAATTCGACGTGATTACAATTCATAACAGAAAGATTTCCATTTTCTGAAATTCAGCAACTTTTTTTTCATCATATAATTTGTGACATTTCGGGTATACTGCGAAATTATGAAAGTTATCTTTTAAGCCGAGCTTCATTCTTGCTAAATAAAACAAATTAAGAAAAGAATCGAATTCAGGGCTACCAATTTCTTTTAATATAAGCTTCATGAACTTTATGAGTGACTCTATAGCTGTCTCTGATAAATTAAACTTTACATGAAAGCTCATTATCCATAACAATATCCATGAGGAGCGATCATTATTTATCGATTGTGTGTTATATGTCTCTTGAAATAATATAAATAATATGCACGAATAGTCTTCGAAAATTTCAGCAATATCGTTATAATCTTCGTTTAACAAACTTTGACTTTCGCTCTCATTGCTTCTATTCTCGTTTACTTCTGAATCATCATAAACATTATCATCAACGATAAGATTTCGTTCGAGGTTTAATATAAGATGATTTGTATATCTTTACGCCTTTGAGGGTGGTGATTCATTTCCTCTTCATGGTCTTCTTGTCGTATTTCATTTAGATTCTCTTCCTTATAGTCATCTTACTGGAATTCATTTTCTTGTTCATCCAATGATAAATTAGCCAATCCTTCTTAGTGAAAACTGTTGATCTTATTCATAATGATTGTTATGACAACGCATTACTCGTGGATTGACCAATGCGCCATCGCATTTACTGCAATAGCATGCAACCTTTGACCTTTTTCTTTTTTTATACATTTCGGAAAACAAATAAAAACTTGATATTTTTAATATTTAACGTTTATATACATTTATTTTAAGATATTCAAGTCAGTTTGCATGCAATCAAGACAATTCGATTTTGTAGGCAAGAAGATACATAAGTTAATTTTTAATTATGTTTTATTTTAATTATAATAAAATTTGAAGTTTATTTTGTTACTAAAGCTTACTGAAAGTTTAAATTTTTTATATAAAAGAATCATTTTCTGATTTATACTCAAATTATTTTTCTTCGTGTATTTTCAATTTCTATAATACAACAACAATAGAAACAATGACTCATCAAAAGATGACGTGTCGTAATAATAATAACTCTTCTTTCAGCTCACAGCAAACTAATACAACAAATACCTTTCGTACTTCATCAACATCAAGCACTTCAGTCTCGCAACAAGATATGCGTTATCATACTTCAATCTTGGAGAATAATGACTCCCTAGTCTTACAACAAAATATACAGCCAACTTTAAACATTCCAGCCTCACAAAATAATATAACAAAAACTCTTCGTGCTACTCTTATCTCATGAAATAATACAACAAACACTCTTCGTACCTCACCAGCTTCAGGCACTTTAGCTCTACAACAAAATACGAGTCATCATATCCTAACTTTAGAGGGTAATAATCAACGAAATACAGTTAATACCAATCAATCAATGCTAGAGACTGTCAAAAATCTCAAAGGGAGAGTGCATGGTCTTTGGGCATCAGATTTCACCGAAATAATCGATGATAATAAGAGTAACGTGTCTGTTTATAGCATAACTAGAAATACGCCTATAGAACCTATCGATTATTCTCACGAAGGTATATCATTTGGCTTGTTACATCATTATGTCATTTTATCGTCAATTTAATCTACTAGTTTGTCTAGAAATTACAAGACCAAGAGAAGAAGTTGAACAGTAGAAAAAGAAAACTCGCTTTTAGCAAAAATGGCATAGTATTGTTATCAAGCAGTTTAAAAGTGCTCGTGATAATGTAGATTGTCTAAATATAAAAATAAAACGATTAAGTGTGGAAAATGAAGCTCTTATATTTGTTAATAAAGAACTTTTAAAACTTAAGGATGAGATAAAAATAGAATTTAATCGATACAAATTAGAACAACAATTAATTGATGAGGATGACAATACATTAGCTGATAATGACGATCGTTCCTCTCAGCTAAGAAAAAGGGTAAAAGTTATATCAAAATTGAGAGGCAAAAACAAAGCTTTATCAATCGAAGCCCAAGAATCAGATGACGAAACAGCGCGGGTTTGTAATTTTATTTATTTTATTGTGATAATTTAAATTTTAATCTTTATCCAATTATTTATTCTTATAAACAGGCAGAAATGAAGGAGATATTAAAAACTTTACCAAACAACTTCGAAATGAAATATGATCAAGTATTTAATAGCTCAGACAATAAAAGAATTTGGCAACAATTAGTACCAGAATTATTAAGATCATTACAACCTCAATACAACCCTTTGTATAATCAATTGAAGGAGTGGCTTCATATATTACATAAGCACTGAAGAAATAGTTATATGCTAAGCCAAAAAGGAACTCAAGATTGATCTAACAGATGAGTACACAATAACAATCGCGTAGCAGAAGCATGAAATTCGTTAGTTTTTATAATTTTAACATTTGTATCTAACATTTTTTATATATATAGAAAAGAGATCAGCGAATAAGAGGTGCATTGGCTTTATTCGATGTGAAAGATCTTCAAGTCTCAAAGTATAATAAAGATGAAATTATGAAATTGCTCAGGATTCCAAAATACCATTCATCTGAGAAATCAGAAACAGATCAGGAAAATAATAAAGGAAAATGCCAGATAGTCGTATATGATTATTCCTGGCGTTCAAATGAGGTTTAATAATTGTTATCATTTTTAGTGTATTGGCTTCCTCAAGTATTAATAATAATTCGTTTAATTTTTAATTTTCTTTATACAATTTTAGTTTAAGAATCTTTTACGAAATATTTTCGAAAAGCATGCATTGTTATAACAATCAGCTTAGCTGATAAGACCTCAGATTTATGATGATATTTATTTCTGCAAAAATGTATCACCACTAAAAAATACGCTAAGTTGGACTTGTAGGCAATGATCATCTCTATAAGACGAAATTATACGACAAAGAGCTACTGACGGTTATGACTGTTCGTTTGATTATAGTACTGAAGAAGAACATATGTATGGTGAATCTTCAACAACCGGTATGATAAGAGAAGCGATTTTACAAAATGAATAAGATGAAGACGTTCTACAATATGATGATATTCCATAATATGATGATGCTCCATGAGGTGATGACAATTATGACGACATCCCACAATATTTTACTGATGATGAAGATATATAATTCTAGACGAACTTTTAATGTTTTCACATATTGCTTTTTATATAATATTTGCTTTTTATATAGGATTCTTATATAATATTTGCGGTCTTTGTACTTTTATGTATTATTTTTATATTTGCATTTTTATTAATAATAAAATTTTACAAAATTAAGTTAAAATACAACAAAAAATGCAATTGAATTCGTATGAAATTTAACATAAAATTTCAGCTGATTTTTTATCTATATGTAATTAAAAGTTAGTCAATGTTTATACCTGAATTATAGTTGTTTGTTACCTGAATCTCAAGTCTAAAGATAACCGAAAGATATAACTAAAGGTG